ACATTACTTTTACTACTGTTACCTTTTGCTACCATTACCACTACTATCATATTACTTTGCTACTAAATACTTTGCTGCAGATACTAAGTTTCCAGGTGTGGTTGAATTGACAACTCAGCTGCTAATACTTGAGAATATTCTTTGGCTCCCCTTGTGTCGAATCAATAAATTTGGGTTGAATACCTTACCCTCGAAAACTGTTGCGATCCCCTATACTTGTGGGTTATCACCCGTACATTAGGATGAAGATCAAGATGCAGAGAACGGCTAAGGACTTGAAAATATGGAGCAGATCCTTGTTCAGCAAGATTAAGCTGCAACTCCACATTGCTCACGAGGTGATTTTGAGATTGGATATAGCTCAAGAGAAGAGAGACCTATCACCGGCCGAATTCTCCCTAAGAAAACAGCTCAAGAATAGAGTGTTGGGGCTGGCTGCGATCGAAAGAGCAAGAAAGAGACAAGCTTCAAGAATAACCTGGCTACGGGCAGGAGACGCAAGCACAAAGTTTTTCCATGCAAAGTACAATGCCAGAAAAAGGAAAAACTCCATCCGCACAATTACATCACAGGAGGGGAGGATGCTGACAGAACATGCATAAAAAGCAGAGGAAATCAGAAAACAATTCACCGCTCATATAGGCTGAAGAGAACAACGACAACATACGATCAACTGGTCTGAACTGTAGATGCCAAGGATCGAGGCTGGAGGCCTTGACAACCCTTTCTCTGAAGATGAAGTTTGGAAAGCTGTTGTGGCCTCCCCGGCAGAGAAAGCACCGGGGCCTGACGGTTTCACTGGCAAATTTTTCAAAGCAAGCTGGGACGCTATCAAGGATGATGTGATGGCAGTTTTCAACAGGTTCTACCATCTAGCCGGAAAGAATTTTGAGGAGATAAACAAGGCGTTCATAACACTTATCCCCAAAAAAGAGGAGGCCTCTGAAGTCAGACACTTCAGACCAATCAGCTTAATTAGCTCGGTTGCAAAGTTAATCACAAAGGTCCTGTCCATAAGATTGACTAAGGTTATCCCTGATATTATTTCGCCAGCGCAATCGGCCTTCCAGAAGGGAAAATGCATCCACGACAGCTACTTATATGTATAGGGAAGTGTGAGATCAATGCATAGAAGAAAGAAGTCGGCCCTGCTCTTCAAGCTGGATATCCAAAAGGCTTTTGACAACATCTCCTGAGACTATCTTCTGGAGGTTTTGCAGCGATTGGGATTTAGCGCCAGATGGAGAGATTGGATGGCAATTCTGCTGTCCACAGCGACATCTTCCTGCCTGCTAAATGGCGATGCTGGCCTTCCGATCATACACAAAAAAGGACTAAGACAGGGAGACCCCCTCTCACCTTTGCTTTTCATCATCGCAATCGATCCTCTGCATCGTCTACTCGCTGCTGTGACTAAGTAGGGCATTTTAGCACCTCTGCCGGGGAGGGGGATGAGCATGAGGGTAAGCCTCTACACCGACAATGCAGTGATTTCTGCAAACCCGATCAAAGAGGAGGTGCAAGCCCTACTTCAAATTCTGCACTCTTTCGGCGACGCGACTGGCCTTAGATTAAACCAGGAGAAATCTTCAGTAGCCCCTATTAGGTGTGAAGGCATAAACCTCTTGGAGGTGCTCCACGACTTTAGAGGGAAAGTTGTAGGTTTCCCGATGACTTACCTGGGCCTCCCCATCTCCACACATAGGATTAAATTAGTGCGTCTTCAGTTCATATTAGATAGAATTAGAGCCAGGCTTGCTGGTTGGAAAGGCAAGCAGGCAAGCTCATGAACATTGCTGGAAGACGAGTGCTTGTTCGCAGCGTGCTCTCCGCAATGCCAACTTTTGCCCTAACAGCGCTCCGACCACCAAAGAAGCTGTTAAAGGAGATCAACAAGACTAGAAGAAGATTTTTATGGGCGCAAGAGAGCGAGGCAATAGGTGCAGCGTGTAAGATTAACTGGAAGAAGGTGTGTACTCCAACGAAAAAAGGAGGAGTTGGAATCCAAGACCTGCATAGTATGAGCAGAGCCCTTCGTTTACGCTGGCTCTGGCTGGCATGGATGCAGCCAAATAGCCCCTGGAGTAGTTTCCCAATGCCATGCGACCAAGGAGACAAGGACCTCTTTGCATGGCAACAAAGGTCACCATTGGCGATGGAAGAAGAGCAAGGTACTGGACTTGCTGCTGGCTGGGGGACGAACCACTGTGCATCTCCTTCCCCACTCTGTACAAGCAATCAAAGAGGAAATCAAGAATAGTTGCTGAGTCCCTACTTGATCAGCAATGGATAAAAGACCTTCAAAGCGGGGACTGGGAATCCACGGTTACCGACTTCATCCGGATGGCCCAAAAGATTAGAGCTCACAGACAAATACATCAGGGACAAACTGAAGACACGATTGCATGGACTGCAAACAGCAACGGAATGTATACAACAAAATCAGAGTATATGCTGCAATTCAAAAGCCTGCCTACTACGGATATGCAAAACTTGATCTGGAAGGTTTGGGCCCCGGGAAAAATCAAATTCTTTGCATGGCTGCTTCACCTCGACAGGCTATGGTGCAACGATCGCTTACAGAGGAAACAATGGACAAACTCTTACTTCTGTCAGTTGTGTTTACGAAACTTGGAGTCTTCCACTCACCTGTTTTGGAACTGCCCGGTTTCGCGCTCTGTTTGGGCGAGGGTGGCCGATTGGAGGAGCTGTAGCTCACTACGTCCGAGAGAGGAAGAGCAAGACAACACTAGAGGAGCAGTCACCAATATTGTCTCCAAGGCAGACAAGGAGGACAAAAAAGGTGTCAAAACGATGATAATGGCAGTATCCTGGGAGTTGTGGAATGAGAGGAACAACTGCACATTTAGGGGAAAGACGGCCTGCCCCAATGACACCCTAGCGGCAATACGGCGCACAATGGAGCAATGTCGTATCGCGGGAGCAAAAGATATTGAGACCCCTTTCGGGGATATAGTCGAGAGATAGCGGATTAGATGTTCTCCAGGGGAGGAGGGGGAGGGGGAGGGCTTTCTAACCCCTCGCTGTCCTCCTCCCTTTTTATCTCTGTTAACTGTAGCTATGATCACTTGATCAGATTTTGTACCACCTCTTGCTTCTGCTCAATCTAATGAAGCCAGCAAATGTTGGATCTTTCAAAAAAAGATTCGGGTTCCTGTAGAATCTACCAAGCCTGCTGTGGGAGAAGAGCAATGTTAAAAATCTCCAGGTCACGGAATCCCAAACCGCCTTAATTCTTTGGCTTTGTCATCACGTCCCACGATACCCAACAAGGTTTTCTTCTCCCCTATTTACTTCCCCATCAAAATTGGCGGATGATAGATGTCACATTATCACAGAGCCCTCTGGAAAGCCTAAAACAGGACATAGAAAAAACTGGTATAGACTGGGCAACAGATTTAATGAGAACCTCTTTGGCAGCAGCTGATAGTAACTTTTGCATCCATCCTCTGACCCATCAAGAAAAAAATATACTCAATAGCATGTTTGTATATTCATCGCTTGGCCCAATGGAAAGACAAGGCACTATCCAAACTGATTTTTTTTCCAGTGACGGCCCAAAAGATACCGCTGAAGGGCCCGAGTGGACTGAAGCTTGACCCTACACCCGCTGCCGCCCCCCACTCCTCCAGCGCCGCCTCCCTCCCCAATCCACCGCCGCCTCCCGCCTCCCTCATCATTCCAGCGCCGCCCCGTCGACGTCCCGCCGCCCCCTCGCCGTCCAGTCACTCCAGACCCTCTGGACGTCCAGCAGACCCCGTCGCCGTCCAGCCACTCCAGCGCCGCCTCTCTCCCCATCGACCGGCGCCCCCCTCGTCTTCCAGATCCGCCCCACCGCCTCGTCCTCCTGTTCCCCTCCCAGTCCGGCGCCTCCCAACCAACGTGCATTGCTCAAGCAATACACATAAAAAGGTAGCAGCCGCTTGTACACTTCTCTCAGTACGGGTGTCGAAACCCTAGCAGTAGGAGAGAGTTCACTACTAGCAGCAATGGTCATTGTTTAGTACTAAGATAAGATGCACTATATGTAGTTGCTGTCCATTGTTGACACTTCTCTTGAGATTAAAAAAATGCTCTCCTTTTTCGTGTCCTTTTGAAAAGATTGGGGTACAGCAACCCTGGAGACTGTGATTACTGTATGATTCTGTTCAAAATCCATATAGTTTTATGATCCCAGTGCAAAGGAATTGACATTTTTAGTTGCCATCTGTCTATGTAGTGTGCTGTGAAACTTTAAGTTTGCACTAGGATGCACTATATTTGCTTGCTGTCCGTTGTTGTCACTAATAGAGCTGCGATGCACATGCAAGTTTCTTACAAATTGTTGTCATTGATAGAGCTGTGAAACTGTGATGCATATATGTATGAATGTAGCTACTGTACCTATGCATGAATGTCTCATTGTTTTCTTTTTATTGAAGGTCTTACAAAATCAGTAAGGTGTGGCCCAACAAAGCCGAAGTTTGAGAAGTGGCAGTGCAGCAACGCAACCCTCTCCATTGACAGGTCCACTGTGCGGAAGTCATGTACGCACAGCCGGCAATGTGCACGCCACAACCAACTGCTGGCCGCATCCGGCTGAATGTCGGCGGGCAGGTGTTCAAGACGACGGCTGACACACTCACAGGCGCAGGCGAGGGAACCATGCTCGCCGCCATGTTGGAACCCTGCTGGAACGCCGGCGCCACCGGGGGCGTGCCCGAGTACTTCATCGACCGCAACCCGGCCTGCTTCGCCTCGCTCCTCAACATGCTCCGCACGGGCGAGCTGCATGTCCCGGCTGTCATCCCGGAGCGGATGCTCTTCCAAGAGGCGTCCTACTATGGCCTCCTTGACCATGTCCGCGCTGCTCGCATCGGTGAGCTCAATCTCGACAGGGTCCGGCTGGCCGCTTCCGTGCCGCCGGGGCGTAGGCCAGTGGCTTGCCCGGCCGTCCGTGCGGCGCCAGACGGGGGTGTTGCGTCAAGCACAGCCCCATCATGCGGGTCTACAACTGGATGCTCGAGGAGCGCCAGCCAGTCTGCCTCATGCCTGTTGAGCCGGTCCGCGATGCTGTCTACCTCAGCGACACCACGCTCCTCGTTGGGGGCCGCGGCATGGCAGCTTTCTCTGTGCTCACCGGCGATCTGAGTCACCACTTCCGCATAGCGCACGAGGGCAAGAAGACGGCTCCGCTTTTTAACGCGAGGGCGCTGGCCTTTGACCAGCAAACAAACGTCTTTGCTAGCTGCAACAACTCGGGCATAACTCAAGGAATTGGCTACGGCATCGGTGTTTGGGACTGCATCACCGGCGAACAGACAAGCTCTTTCTTTGACCTGAAGTATGTCGACGCTCTGACCGACGCCAGCAAGCTTCAGTGGCTGGCAAGCACCAACGCCCTCATGGCTGTCAAGGCGTGCTCACCGAAAGATGCTTTCTCGCCGTCTTCCATCACTCTGGTGGATTTCCGGGATATGAGTGTTGTGTGGTCATGGTCTGCCGGCAGCCGGAGATGGAACGAAAGGCGTGTTGCCGATGCCGTCGTGATGGAGGACGAGAGGTCGGTCCGCTTGATCAGCCAGGACCATGATCTCGGGTTCCTCGACATCCGTTCTCGGGGCTCTGTCCAGGAGCCGTGGACATATTGTAACACGACGACCCCGACGTGCTATCCGAAGCTCGCCGTGCACGGCGGACTGCTCTTAGCGTCCAAGGATGACAGCATCTCGGTGTATGGCGGCCCAAATCATGACCGCCTGAGGCTGGCGCTGCGTGGGAGCCAAGGCGGTGGCGCCATTGCCGACTTCTCCGTTGGGGGCGACCGTCTCTTCGCGGTGCATCATGAGGACAACGTGCCGGATGTGTGGGAGACACTGCCACCTCCCATCGCCTAGTATTTAGGCTATCGTCATTGATCTACATTCGTACCAGTCTACCGGGGCTTGGATAGTGAGCCGGCTTCAGATCGTAATATATATTTGTGCTTTGGAATTGGAGATGTACTGTGCTTTCGTGATGAATTGCTGGGTGGTTAGTTGTACGTCTGAGAAGAAGATGAACTGAGGTAAGATGAAGGGTTTAATTTGAGTCGCACCTGCTTAATTAGATGAACTGAGGCAAGATGAAGGTAGACCTCACTTGCCAGCGCTCCCCTATAACTTGTGGGTCCTAGTTATCAGCACATTGAGAATTAAATTTTAAGAAAAATAATGACAAGTAGGATTTGATCACCCGCGAGCGAACCTATTTTTGCTTCTAATTTTATTGTCTGTTACTGTAAACTAGGACCTGTTTTTTAGTTTCATATTATAACAAAATCAAAGTTGGCAGCATCAACGTAAATGCAAGATCCTGTCAATATCTCCCCTTCAAGGACTCTTTCACCTGGTCTTTTAATGAGCAAGCAGGTATCAATGCACAGATCAAGGGACTGATTTATGTTCCTTAGAAGACCTTGAAATCCATTTTATGGAGTGCAAAATTATTAGCTTCTATGGAGTTCAAAAATTAAGGACCATCAAGTTAATTAGCATCACCCAACCGAATCAGTGGACCTGGATATAGTCACAATCCGAATAAGACCTTGCATTCCTAGGAACACACTTGAAAACAGCTCCACTAATTTCATTCAGCCAAAACATTTGTTGGGCACACAATAGCTCCCTGCCCCACATAGCTTGACTCGAATATTTAGACACAACGGGTAGCAGCTTTTATATTGTCAGCCGAAGGAATTGATATCCAAGAAAGTGAAGTCTCATCTGCCTTCCGAATCATTGAAACATTGACATCTTCCATCTCCAATGTCAAAAACCCACTGAGCAAATGCATAACGCTCAGCACGGGACTGTGGCGTCAATTCAGGAGACCTAAGACGCATGTTAGTATTAAAATTGCATACTAACATGATCAATGAAGCAAAAGTCTTACGAGTACCGCCATGCCCAGAAATAAAATGCACACCTCCCACTCGAGCATCAATGGCCTGTATAACTTCGTTGTAAACAACCCTTTGATCATGATTTAGCTTCCCCGGGAACAATTCTGCTTGGACTTTCAACTCGGCCTCATTATATTGCAATTCCTGGGCTACAATTATAACAGTCCTGGTTGGCTAGAACTGCCCGTGATGATACTTCATTTCTGAAAACAACGAGTATATGATCAAGTAGAGATGAATAGAGACAGAGTCCCAGGAACTTGTGAGCATTCTTACACAAAAGTATCATGCACCGTTCCAATGTATGGAGTACCACCAGCAAATCAGTTGATCAAACACAGAGGTGACTTTATGTGTTGTTTTATCCACCATCGCATCATATCACAACCCACAGAGTGTTGATCAAACACAGAGTGTGTCTGACCGGATTGTGCCCCAGACCCGGTATGTGGCTCGGCTGGGGCTTTCGGCTTTTGATGTTAGGTTTAGGTGAGTGGTTTGGGTAATGGCCCAGCTAGCATCCCTTCATCATATGGATAAGAGTAGCGGCATATGTTGCCAAGATGGTGGATTTAGGTATATTGTTTGTAATACTTTGTAAGGTCCTTGAGAATAATTAATAAAATGGCCGTATGCATCTCCCAGATGCAGAGGCCGGGGGTCATCCTCCTTTTCTAAAAAAAATATCACAACCCACAAACCATGCAATGCAGCTAAAGAGTCAGGACAAAGAGTAAGCAAGGACAACGATGAAAGCTTTGCAATCTTTCCCAGCCGCCACTCTTGGTAACCAGCGAGCGAATATCACGGGGCAAATCAAACAGATAAGCTTTACAAAACAGATCAAGTCACTCCATGTCCCCACCTAACCAGTAGCCCCTGCAACATCTTGGAAGCCTTTGCTTGGTACTACTGCTCTACTCCTTCGTCTCCTCGCACGCCCTCACTCTCCACCCCTGCACCCTCTGGCAGGTCCAGCCCCAGCCCCAGCGCTTCCGTCTCCTCGCCCCACCACGACCCGCCTCCGCATCGTCGTCGACGACCAACAAGGGGTTTGGGACTTGGGTGGCCGATGTGTGGACGGGTTCCTGCACGCCTCCAGGGCCAGCTTCTCCTAGTTCAGACACCAGCATATCATCACCCGCTCCCTGGACGTCAGCATGGGGTGTGCCTGCACGCACAAGGGTACATCATTAAATGGAGCTATTGCTAACTTTCGGTTGTCTGAACATTTTCACTTGATGTTGCACACTACTAAGATTGAGCATACTCTCATTTATGGTGTGCAACTATTATCTCTACTCTGTAGCTAGGTCATATATGAAGTTACCTTCAGATGAGTATGATTGGATGTTGATTGAAAAGTTTGGTAATGCGACTGAGATTTTAGAAAGTTGCAGGCAACTTATGAAGAGAGAAACCAAAATCAAATGCAGCTATCAAGTACTCACAAAATTCAACCAAGTTCTGTAAAAAAAAAAAATCTTGTTAATGTTACTAGTACAGTCAAGTTCAATCGTGCTGCAACCAGGGCAATATTGTAGTGATCTTAAATTTGTGTGTTTCTATGTTTCAAAGGAAGGGTGTGGGTCCAGAACTCAGAAGGAAATTAAAGAAGGGAGCATATACATAAAGGCCAGGAAGATGATTAAAGGAGAAAAAAAAACATTTCCACACAGAAAGCAGCAACGGCAATCCGGCAGAAGAGTCGCAAGGTTCCATCGCAACAGTACGCTAAAGAAGATGATATATTGGTTGTATAATGATCAGAGTTCAATACCAAAAAGGATTGATTTGACAGACTAG